GGGCGGTCGTGACACCAGTGGGGTGCTTACAGGTGCTGACTGCGTGTCAGCAGAAAGAAGGCAGAATAGAGGGGGCTGAAGCGTGTGGCGCCAGTGCCAGGTGAGGGGATGGGTGCTGTCGCTTTCTGTTGTAAAAGCCAAAAAACCAAACCCGTCACCAGACCCATCATGTCGGTGCCAGCCTCTAGCGACACTGTAGGACGCGGTGGGACTTCCCCGAAGGGTCCCCAAGGCTGTCATCTTCACGGAGGCGGATTACTGGGCCTTTCTTCCACAGAGCAAGCGGCCGGCGGGTCAGACCACTGACGTGTCAGTTAGCTCTCAGCTGCCGCCACCAGGGCGCCCTCTCTGTTGTCCACAGAGCTCAGCCACCACCGTCAGAGCGCCCTCTGTGTTGTCAGAATCGGTAGCTATTCTGTGATTAAAAATCTGCACGTAGGTTTTCTAAGCCTTTGAAACACAAAAGGCTATTTTTAAGAATGGAGTCATTGTGCTGAAGGCATTGTTTGTCATGATGGAACCAGAGACTGACAGGAAACCACTTTACTGAGAAACAAGCTGGTGGGGCTCCCAAGGGTCAGTACCTGGGCCCAGCGCCACTGGGCAGCTCTAGGGTCACGTGGAAGAGCTCGTCAGCGCCCACCCAGGAAGGTATTTGCACACATTACCCCTCCCTGTGTCTGACACAGGGGTGATTGCTACTGGCATAGTGCATTGCCAGGATCATTGCGTTTAACAGCCAGCTGCTCAGTGCTCCCTACCGGGCACCATGCTCTGCAGGTCTTGTACAGGACACGAGGGCCAGGTCCTGGGGACACGGCCCCAAGTTGACCCCACAGCCTCTGCCTCGTGGAGCCGGGAGCAGCCAAAAGACGCTCCTTGGGAGCAGCCCCCAGCCTGTGTACAGTAACGGTCTCTGCTCCATCCACCCTCTGCACCCAGAGCAGAGGCAGGCTTCCATCACTGCTCTGCCCTGGCCTAGCTCGTGTGACCAAAGAAACCAGAGCTCGCTGGCCAGGTCAGGAATGCCTGACCACTTGCCTGGGTCACCCCCAAGCTACCACCCCGAAATCCCGGACACCCACGGCCCCATGTGCTGGCCCCCGGCTCCTTGGAGTGCCCTGTAGGCTGTCCGCTGACGGCCCGGGGAGTCATTTGTCAGACAAGAACAGCTGTTCTCTGCAGTGAGCCGCCACACAGCAGTGGGAGCAGACTGTGGGAGTGCCGGGCAGGCAGGGTCTGTCTTCCTCGCCCTGCATACATCTGTCCACTGCTCTCGAGCTCTGAGCCCTGGACTCCCCGTCCTGCCCCATCAGCCCCCTCTCCATGGGAGCGTTCCTCCCCCAGGCCGAGACACTCGGACGTGTGTGTGTGTGTGTGTGTGTGTGTCTGAGGGTGTGTGTGAGAGTCTCTGTGTATGAGTGTGGATGTGTAAGAGAGACAGTCTGCGTGTGGGTCTGTCAGGGTGGGAGGGATCTTGATGTGGAGCCAGGCTCCTGATGCTGTGGGCCTTGCCATCCCCAGGGCTGGAGCCCGGGATGTTCCCCTCTTGCAGGTCTGCAGGCCCAGGACAGCTCTCCATGTGTCCCCAGGCCTGTCCCCATCACAGTAAGAGCAGGTCAGGCTGGCCAGGCCCTTTGAGAAGGTGCACTGGGTGATGGCAGGTCTATGCTGCCCTCCCAGTACCTAGTCTGGCCTCATCCAGGGAGCCAGGCAGTGTGGTCTCTCTCCTGGTGGGAGGGAAGGAGGTCCCCAGCTCATAGTCCTGTCCCCTTCCTAAAGGAGAGAGAGAACAGGACTGAGGGGACAGTGGCTGTCTCTGGTGGCACAGAATATTAGAATAGAAAAACAAGGGTGAAGTGTGCTCACCTGTCGGGTTTCACAAACTGCGGTTGAGGGATGGGGGGTGGCATGCCCAGAGCCTGCCTGGAGCTCGCCTCACGCCTGGTGGTGGCATGCTAAAGCAATGCCCGGAGCCCCCTCTGCCAGCTCCTCCATAGCCAGGGTGTGGCTGTATCCCCAGGGAGCACCCAGGAAGGGTCAGAAGGAAAGTGCAGTACAACGATTCCCATGCTGTCGTGTGGTCCTCGGTAAGAGATGGAGAGGTAGGAGCTTTAGAGGAAGAGGGAATGAACAGAGTCTCACAAAGACTGAGCTAAGCATCAAGTAACGGGCATTGCACCCAGCTGCAGGCGCGGGAGTTGATGATGAAGTACTCAGAGCCATTTCCTGTTGAATTGTTGGTGCCGCCCGGGAGCTGTTTGCCTTCCCTTTCAGTCCCAGCGTCCTGAGCCCACGCGCCTCTCAGTAATGACCCGCGTGGCCTAGCCTGCACGGCCGCCTCTGACTGATGGGTGCAGATGAAGGCCAGCATGCCTCAGGGTCTGTCTCACACCACACTTGGGCGCCTGCCATCCAAGCCTGGTTCCTGAAAACCTAGCTCTGCCGGGCATGTGTCCCAGGCAGTGACTCAGCTGAGAGTGATCCCAGAATGGCCCAGTTCTGAGCTGCAGGCAGGGGAGCCCGGCCTTCACATGAGTGGTCACCGCCTCCCAGCTCTGCTCGTGGGTGTGCAGAACCCACAGCCTCTCATGCACGGTTGCACCAGGGCAGCAGGAAACACCAACCAGTTGCCCTTGGCGCCTGCCCACTCTCCTGCCGATGTCACCACAACAGCCCACCTCCTCCCCTGCTTCCTGTGGCACCCACCTGCTCTCACCCCTGTGCTTTGGGAGGGCTCACTGTTTCTCAGCGACAGCCCCAAATTAAGGTGCCGTTTTGACCTTATCCTAGAAGGTGTACCAGTTGTGCAGCTCTTCTGGTGTGAAAACAGTGACCGTTTCTTCCACATGGTTAGTGTCCCTTGAGACCTCTGAGGTATCCAGGCTCACTCCCTTTGTAAAGAAAGATTCCGACCCACAGCGCCCCTAGAGGACAGAGTGGAACTGCCCACAGGGTCTCCAAGGCTGTCAGTCTTCACAGAAGCAAAGCCCAAACCACACCC